GGGAGGGCCGCTTTTTACCCATTTTAAAGGGCCAGGTCATAGGGAAAGGAGAGAGTCACCTGCTTGGTCACAGGTGGGCAGGAGCCTCCAAAAGCACTGTCTTATGCACATCCCCCAGAGACTCTGCAAAATGGGGTGGGGCCAGAAAGGGGTCCTAGAAACCAGCTTCCTGGGTGCTGGGCAGGTCAGTGTCACCCAGCCCGGAGCACGGGTGAGCACCGCTGGTTGCCGCTGGCGCCCCTCTGGGCTCTGCAGCGGGGCTGCTGTCCCCACCCACAGCCTCTCGAGCGTCTGAGTAATGACGCCCTCGGATGGCCCGTCAGCCCCACGACCCGCCATTCTCCTCACTTTACAAGCGAGACCAGTAGAGGGTCCTCACCCAGCTGGGTCGGAGCGGTCACTCTGCCTCCCCGGCAGGGCTTGGTGACTCGGAGATAGGCGGGAAAGAGGCAGGAGTCAGAGGACAGCTGGGTGCCAGCTGGGAACATGGGTGGTGGAAATCTCGACTGCCCGGGGTCTGCCCTGCCCGCCCCCCACAGCTCTGCCCCCCACAGATATGCAGACGCTGCGCACGGCCCAGGCCGCGCTGGGCAAAGGCTGCCTGGCCAGCTCCTTCATCTGCGTGTACCTGTTCACAGGAGAGCTGTACCCCACGGAGATCAGGTGGGTGCCTGGGGGATGCAAGGGGCACCTGGTGCCCAGACTGACGGCGGCTGGGCTTCCAAGTCAGGGCCCCCCTCCCCTTCCTGCTCTGCCCGATACCAGGGCCGGGCCCACCTGGTCACGGTGTTGACCTGTCCACCCTCCTCCCACAGGCAGATGGGGATGGGCTTCGTCTCTGTCAACGCCCGCCTGGGGGGCCTGGCGGCGCCTTTGGTCACCACCCTCGGGGAGTTCAGTGCTGTCCTCCCACCCATGGGCTTCGGGGCCACCGCTATCCTGGCCGGGCTGGCCGTCTGCTTCCTGGCTGAGACCCGCAACATGCCCCTGCCAGAGACCATCGAGGCGATGGAGAGGAGGTGAGGGCCCTGGCCACAGAGGAGGGAGTGACCAGGAGAAGCGGGGGCAAGTATCCATCTCTAGCAGGGGCTAAAACACCATCCAGAGCAGGCTGGGGGCCGCCATCTGCAGAGGCCACGCGTCCAGCAACAGCAGACCCTGGAGAGAAGGGTGAGTTAGAGAGAGGAGTCATGGAGACCAGGAAGCAGGACTGAGCGCTCAAGGGCAGCCCTGCAGAGCA